GATTGGTTATAATCGGGCTTGGTCGGATATTTGGGACTGGGTCAGATGGGAAGGGGTTTGGATCCTGTTATAGAGATGGGCCAACTGGGATTGGTGTTTGGAGAGTGGGCCCGGGTCGTAAAGAGTAGGCTGGGTTAGTTAGGCTAAATGGGCTTGAATGCTAGGGTTTGAGATTTGTGGAACAACACCACAATTTTTTTTATGAGCAGCAGAAAAAAACGAATTTTTTTTTTTGGCGTGAACAGTAACTTTTCTTTTTTTTTTTTTATTAAAGAAACTGACCAAAATACTAAACTGAAATTCTGTGTGAACAGTACCGCGATGAACAGTAGTATTTTTTTTTTTCAACTAAGACTGAAAATTGAAGAAGAAGAAAAAAACTGTTGCCTGTACCAAATATTCTTTTAGTTCGTGCTGTTCCAACAGATTTTGGGAAGGAAATATGAATAAATTTTGGATTAAAGAAAAGAAATTACCCATGGTTCGGCTCTGATACCAAATTTGATGTAGGATGAATAAGAAAGAAAGAAGAAGGAACGGGGAGGAGAAATAAAGAGAAGGGAGAAGAGGAGAAGAAACCAGGGGAAGAGAGGGGAGGGAGAAAACGGCTGCAAGCCACCAAAAATATTTCAATTCTAATTCATCATTAACTGTCTCAAATGAGAAACAAAACAGAAATAAATAACAGAACACAAACCCTAAAGAGAAGGGTTTGGGCCAAACCCACTAAACAAGCCCAATAACGAAAATATAAACAATAGTCCAAATAAAATATGACTAAGAGTCCAAATAGAAAATAAATAATAAATGGATGTCCGCATCACTATGGCTCTTCATTGCAATTTCCAAAGTTATTCTACCACAAAAGAGATACATTGTTGTCATCCACAAACTGTGAGAAAATGTCACCACTGATGTATCCTTTGTCAAATATCAATCATCTTTTGACAACATCTATCCCCAGGGGGAAAGTCGGTTTAGTGACAAAGATAGCAGTAAACGAAAATAGGTACTACGAAAGTGAGACTGATTTGTTGCTAGAACATTTTCTTCAAGGTAAGTGTAGAGGATAATTTAAAGTATAGATATGTAACCCTATCTAAAAGCTTAAGCTTTTAATCAAGTGATTAAGGATGATATCAGAGCAAGAAAGGTCCCGGGTTGAAGTCTCACTGTCACACATATAAATAAATTGTGCACATGCTAGGCTTTAAATGGGGAAAAAAAAAAAAAAAAATTACATTTCTTCAGAATGATGTATATACTATAAGAGATAAGAAAGAATATAATTCCTACCTTAGCCCCTTACTATTCTAAAGCTTCTATTTTGGCCCTTACAAGTCAATTGTATACTCTAACTCTCACCCTCAAGTTGGCGTACAGATATCACACATGCCCAAATTGGATAGCAACATATAGATCGGACCATTAGCAGCTGCTATGTCATTATTTCAGCCAGTGAATCTACACTCATACTGTATGGAACCTCAATATTTCCAGAGATGAGGTTATCCTTGACATAGTTCTTGTCAAGCTCAATGTGCATCACTAAGAAGAATTTTCAGCTATGTAAGTTCAGTGTTGCATGATGAAGAGCACGATATTCAGCATTGGTATTAAATAACGACACCACAATTTGTTTCTTTCTCCTCCAAGTTACCAGATTGCCTTCAACAAATGATACATATCCTGATGTAGACTTCCTATCCAATCTTGTTCCAGTAAAGTCAGAATCTATATAGCTTACAATATTTAGATGCCAAGGTTTAGAATTGCCTAAAGAGAATTTTAAATATGCCAAGATATGATTTACCGTTGCATTTGCAAGCACTAGAATTATGCATAACTTGACTCACAGTACTTACTGCACAAGACAAGTCAGGCATCATATGCGTCGGATAGATCAACTTCCCTACTAGTCTTTGATATCTTTCTTTCTAAAACATTTTCTTCAAGGTAAGGTATCTACTCGATAATAGAGAGATTAGAGATGATTAAATGGAGATTAAAGCAATAACAAACTAAGCCTTGTTCACAATGGATACTGAGTAAAGAAGGTGGAGATTAAAACTTTAGGTACCCTATCTATGATTGCATGAAGCATGTCGAGATTAATCTACTGTTCATTAAAGAAAATCTTGAAACAGATAAGTGAGCATGCCCTATGTGTCTTCTTTTAAACTCTTGGCCAATGTACTTACCAAGGGTCTTCCTAGTTCAACATTTTATCAAATCATGAACAAGTTATGAATGCAAAATATTTAGTATTTGCTTAAGGAGGAATATCGGAGATATGGGAATTATTATAGCAAATTAATTATCCCACTCCTTCTACAAATAGTCATGTACTATTGTCAAATTTACTAGATGCACACTTAGCCGTTTTCATACAACTCCTAGATATCAGATCTCTAATTAGACTAGGGTTATTCCTTTATTATTTTCCATGGAAAGATTCATGATATTGATAGAATATTTTTGCTGCATTCGTTAACATTAATGGAAAAGGTAATATATTTCAATTGACCTAGTATTGGAAAAGTGTAACTTCAAGAAACAATTAGACATTGCTCCACAGTCTAGTCCAGTGTGTGAATAGGAAACATCTTAACTTTTAAAAAACGGAAATATCCAACAAAAACATGGGAGAATTTGTACTCTCTAAGTGTCCAAAACAGAGGATGAAAAATGGCATCTTTGAAACTTAAGGGAAGCCTAATACCAATTACAATTACTTTGACAATAGCAAATATCTTAAAGGAACTAATTCTAGTTATTTGCTTATATTTGCAAAGGAAATATATTCTATAACTTAACTTCGTAAGATTTCTCTGATACTTATCTGGAGTCAGTTACTTGGATCATCTTACTCCACCCTGTTCAATAAAGGATCATCTCCAAGGCTAAAAGATCAAAGAGATGCACATATATTATATCCTAAAAAACTTATGATTTGATTATGTGAAGCCAATGAACTATTCAGCGTCTTAATCTTATAAAAATTAGGAGCAACTAATTACTTTTATTTGTATGTGCAAACTCACTAGTATGGAACCACTTGTGGCTTCGAGTTAAAATTCAAACTGTCCATGCAATTGTCCTAAAGATAAGGAAAACAACTAACCATTTTATTTAGTATCATGCAAAATTTTGCAGAATAATAAATCTTCTTACAAAATTCAATTAAAAGACATTAAAGGACTTAATAGTGTTCTTAGTCCAACTCTTTTTGAATAAATGAACTATTATCACTAAAAAGAAGTTCCAATTCATCATCCCATCAATACTGAGTAAAATCATATCAGCGCATACGAAAGCTGTATAGAACAAGGTATCAGAAAAACCAAAAACTGCTAAAAAAAATTATTCAACTAGAAATAACAGACTAACTGTAGTAGGAAATATTATTCACACTCTTAGTTAATTGACCAAGAACTGACAAGCTGCAAGCAAAAGGACATAGTTCCAGTAAAGGGAAGATTGCAGAGCTTACTTTGCTAATTGACTTGATGAGAGTTCGAGTGCCAGAAGGGTAGCTAATGCACCGCCCAAACTATGACCAGTCACGCAAATATGCCATTTGGGAAGAAGCTCCAGCAAATCATCTCTGGCACAAAACACACTTATATTTTAATGAAGGGGGAAAAAACACGATCCTTCACAATTGTGTTCAGCAGCAATTATGTTCACTCGGAGAAACATGGAAGCTATGGTTATAAATCCACAACACTTGCTTCCCTTTGCAACATAAGGAGAAATAGTGCTCTGTGATGATGATGTTTGCTTGGGAAAAAAAAATCAGATTACGGTTAGAATGCATAATACTCTCTTCATACTAAATTGAAGTCATGAAACTAAAAATGACATAAGCCTAAATAAGAGTAAAAACCATTACATCACATGAAAAAAAAAAAAAAATGGAATACGCAATTAGTTAAATCATTGAAGGATTTTGATTTGATGTCATGATCTTGATTTACATGAATCAAAAACAAATTGATAGTTTTAGAGACATGACATCTCAGATCAAATGTAAATTCCGGACATCACAAACTAAGAAAGGCTACGACCAAAAATAATCGAACAAAATCTGTTTGATATTAGATGATAAAGGAAAGCATAGAAGGCCTTGGAGAATCTCCAGTTATAAAAGCTAAGTTTTACACAAAAAGTAATGGCTGGGGGAAGAATCTTTGTCTGCTGGAAAAATCTTCCAGGAAAAAAATAAATAAATAAATAAAATAAAAAAATAGAAGAGAGCCAAGATCAGCCATGCATCACATGCCTGCAAAGTCAGATACAAGAATACTGGTAGAAGAATCAATAGGATCAGATTATAGAATCGGCCACCATTTTTTGTAAACTAATAACTTAAGTTGTCAAAAGCAGGAAGCAAATGAGATTCCAGAAATAGAAAACACAAGGCTTATGGATGGGTTGTGCATGTGAAAATTCATAAACACAACTGGTACATCACAAAGTTGTCAAAGGGTCTGAATGCCTTTCGAATGAGGGTTTCTTCTCGTTAAATAGGAAAATTGTTCCTTAATTACAATCTACAATCAATGTGTTACAGCCTATAATCAATGTGTAATTAATACAAGATTTCACTAAACAAGGTAGTTCTTACCTATGTAATCTTCCCTAAATCAAGGAAACTATATACAGCAGTTTGTCTATTTAAAGAATATATGATGTACAAGGAACACACAGCTTTAGATTAACAAAAGTTATCACAGTAAACCGAGTTGTCATACTTTAAATCACAGTATAGAAGCAGAAGGAGAACAATATTGGCATTAAAATGATTCAATGCGTAAAAATCCTTAAAATTTTGCATCTATGAAGACAAGCTAATTAAGAGCAGCAGGAACAACTAGAAAATAAATATCACGAGCTTATATGAAAAACCTAGATGTCAAACAAAATTGTAGTTAAAGAAATTTGGTTCTCGAAATTGTCAAAATGCTTTTGTGAATTAGAAACATATATGTTATTAAAAGTTCAGAAACAGAGGACTACCTGTAACCAACAGCCTGCTTAATGAGCAAGATAAGCCTAGTCCGTACTGAATCATATGCACTCAAAAAACCACTGTGAACCTGCAGATATCAATAACTATTCAATGATTAATAAGTTAGATGGATAATATACGTGTTAGATAAAAGAAATTATAGGTCTAAGTAAAATAAATTGATCATACCTGAACTTCTTGCTTAAAATCACCGCCTATCCTTTCAGGATTTAGTCTACACACGAATTGAACAAGTCAGCAACAATAACACAAAGTCAAGGTTTGAAGCAGATGCTAAAGGTATCATCAGTGACGAAGAGGAGATGTGAAATGTATGCTAGATATATGATGTTGCTCGGCTAGGATGGAAACTTTATGATATGACTTGGTAGGAAAGATCAGTTACAATACTTTCAACAAATTTTATGTCTGCCAAATTGTTAACCTACAATATGAACCGGCATTTATTTTTTCCCATGTAGACATTATAAACATGAAAGGTTTTATCAATTCAAGTTAGAAGTCTGATGTCTGACTGATGACTCCCAATATTATGTACTGAAGTGCCACGCTGTTGTAAAAAGTCAATAGTAGATAAAGGAAACATGGCAGACTTCCTCTGGTTTTGCTTCCCCTAAATTCTGAACCAGGTGATATTACTAGTTCACTAAAAGGTTCGAGGAACAGATGTTTATTTTAATTTAAAATATAATACTAAGAAGACCTTATATTTTGTGTAACAAATGCATTACCCGGCAGGAACAAGCATCAAATCTGTCCGTAGATCCTTCCATCTAGACTGGATAAATTAAATATTAGCATTTCAACCTGAAAAAGAAATATTACTATACCACTGGTTTGTATAATAACCTACCTGTTCAGTTCCCCTAAAAGCAACAACAAGTCTTCTCCTTTCAGGATCACGCCAAAGTGACACCTACAGCACTTGTAAAGTTCAAGATCAGTGAAAATAATTTTTTGGATCATACAACCAGGTAAAAATAGGACAATCTTAACTCATCTACTATCCAGATACATAAAGATGCAAGATGCATGCTGACTATTTAGATACAAACTTACCTGAGTGTCGGTGGAAGCATTATCCAAGAAACTGATCTTTTCGAATTCAGATCTGATAAATGTTGGATGGCCCACAGCATTCGCTAGCATTGCCCAAGCCTCCATGGCACTTTCTGCTGTTGAGAAGAGTGCCCTCATCTCCTCAGCTTTCCCCTCATCTAACACTAATCCATTTGGAGTACTTGTTAATTTTTTACTCTCAGTAGATATCGAAACATCCTTTTGCACTTGCAAAGCATCTTCATTGGTCTCACTCTGTCCTTTAAGGCCTGCACCTTTGTTTAATTTAGAAACTGCAGCATTTAAAACCATCAACGTTCCTAATATGGAATCAGTTTGTCGTAATATATCTTGTGTTGCTTTCTTAATGTCCGGTAAAAATGTCTGAATACTGTTATTGGATATTAGACCAGATGATACATTGCCATTAGCCGCCTCCTGATTATCTGGAGTTGCAAGCCCAGACTCGACATAGCCTGCCTCTGCAATTTTACGCAAGTGCAAGCCAATACTATTTAGCAACTCAAATCTATCCCACTTTATTTTCTCAGGAGCAGGGCGACCATGGATAACATTTCGATTGACCCAATCAGCTAACTTCTTCCAAAAATGTTTATCAGACTGTGAAGCCTTGTCAACTTGACTTACTGGAGAGGAGTTAAATAAATCAGCGGTTGAATTACTAGTTGGGTTGGGCTTAGACCTAACGTTTTCTTCCTTTTGGCTCGTCTCATTTGAAGAGCCCTCTGAATTATTCTCCATCTTGGTCTCATCTATATCATCAGAAAACCAATCCTTCTGAAGATATGAATCATTAAACGACATTATCTGCCCAAAAGCAAACTGCACAAACTGGCGTGCTTGCACAGTTTCTGACCCAACAATCATCTTCAGTGCAGGTTCAAGGGCCTTTTTTTCAAGGAACTCTGTCACAAAAGGGATCCTCCACCACTTCTTTTCCTTGTCAATTATCTCAAAACTCTTGTACTTAATCTGAAACACATCATTCGGAAGAAGAATCAAATCCTATTTAGTAAAGCACACATACCAAGTCATTTCAGTTTGAGAATTTCACAGAGCATTTCAGCAACTCCCTCAATTTTATTAGCAAACGTAAGCATTTTATTAGCAGCACAATTGTCGAAATGTCTAAAGAATTTCTTGTTCCAGAAGTTCAAGAAAATAACAAAAATGATATATTTCCCTTTCTGGTTCATCAAATCAGAAAGATAGAATTGTTTGAATATAACGATGCAGACTTTAACTTGATATGGCCTTTTGCCATTTTTCAAAATTTCCATTGAAGGAAACTTGGACATCGAAAGGAATGGGACAGGATGGTCCAGCACTCACATGTTTCAACAAATATTGTTCAGGGAAAGGAGGGAGAAGTTGATGGAATTGGAAAGCAAATGGAAGAACAAGTCATGATGAAATTTTGGACTCAGATAACATGATTTCTCTTCTATGTGATGTCCTGCTTTTTTAAGAACTGATAAATACAAATGTGAAGTAAATTATCCCAATTACACATTTATAAACAAGATAAACAAATGAAATCATTGAGCCGTCTTATCTAAAAGCTGAAACAATTAGAGATTTAGAAAATGATTTATTTATATTTATATTTATATACTCAACATGGCCTCTATTTACATGTGGAATTGACATAATGGGATAAGAGTGAGAACTGAACAAACGACCATTGCACACTCGGATAGCATATTGCACCAACTCTTTTAATAGCAGAAGACAGTAAAAAGAGGGCGAATTTATTTATTTATGTATTTAAATCTTCAATAGCCTTCCTTTGTCTCCATTACTATTTGTCATTGTAATAGAAGCTTTCAGCAGGATGCTTGAAAAGGCTGTGGGAGAAGGTTTGTTAAGGGGCTTTATGGTTGATCAGCTGCAAGTATCTCATTTGCTATTTGCAGACGATACATTGATCTTCTGTGATGCAGATGTTCAGCAATTCAGGAACCTACGTTGTGTGCTCTGGTGCTTTGAAGCCGTATCTGGATTGGAAATAAATTTGGGAAAATCTGAGGCTATCACAATGGGGGAGGTCGATAATGTGGAGGAGTTTGCTGCTATATTGGGTTGCAGAACTGCCTATGACTTATCTTGGTCTTCCTTTGGGAGCACGGTTTAAGAGTAAACATATTTGGAATAGTATTATAGAAAAGATGGAGAGAAGGCTAGCGGGTTGGAAGCGTATGTATCTCTCAACGGCGGTCGTCTTACTCTCATAAAGTCCACATTGTCGAATCTCCCTACTTATTTCTTATCATTGTTTCCTATCCCTGTTGTAGTGGCAAAAAGGTTAGAGAGGATCCAAAGGAAGTTTCTTTGGGGAGGATTAATGGAGGAAAGGAAATTACATTTGGTTAATTGGGGTGTAATTTGTTCTCTTATAAGGTTAGGGGGTCTTGGATTGAGGAGCATCATACTGTTCAATAAGGTCTTGTTGGGCAAGTGGTTGTGGCAATTCGGTGTGGAGAGGGAGAGTTTTTGGAGAGAAAGGGGCAAAATATGATGTCATGGAAGGAGGATGGTGCTCAGTCAAGAATCGCGATTCTTATTGGGTGAGCTTATAGCGATATATCCGGCGAGGGTGGAACGATTTTCAAGATAGATTGACTTTTGCAGTGGGGAATAATACTACCATCAGTTTTTGGGATGATTGTTGGTGTGGAGAACAACCGCTGAAGGTGAAATTTCCCTCTTTATCTCGTATTGTGTTGGCACCGTTTGCTACAGTGAGTGATGTCTTAGATATACATAATGGGAGGTTCAGTTGGAATATTGTTTTTGGTAGAGGGATTACAAGATAAGGAATTGGACAATTATGCACTGTTTTTTACTTCTTTGTACGAGGTCCACATCAGGACAGGAGAGGCAGACTATAGTAGGTGGAGATTGACACGGGATGGGATTTTTTCAGTTGGTACTTATTTCAGATCTTTATTGGGTCCTGTACAGAGTTTATTCCCTTGGAAATTGGTGTGGAAATGTAAACTGCCTCCACGGATTGCATTCTTACTCTGGACAGTGGTCAGGGGTCAGGTGTTAACGATGGATAATCTACGAACAAGAGGTTTTTATGTTACAGAGTGGTGTTATATGTGTCGGAGGGACGGGGAGACGATTGATCACTTGTTTCTCCATTGTGATGCTGCTCGTTTACTATGGTACAATATTTTGGTATCACAACACATGGATTGGGTAATGCCGAGGCGTATGGAAGACGTGTTAAAGGCATGGAGGAAAAAAATTCTCGACAAGGATTGCAGCTTGCATGGGACCTTATTTCGGGTTCCATTGTATGGTATATATAGAGATAAAGAAACAGCTGCTGCTTTAATGAACAAACACAGACAATAGAGCAAATTAGAGAAATGTTTTATTTCACATTGTATACGTGGTTTAATGCTGCAACTACTAGGCATATAGATGGGCTGCCCAATTTTATGTTGTTCCTTTCTGCTTTAAATTGATAATACACTTCCCGTGTATTATGTATTGATTAATAAAATATTTGATTACCTTTCAAAAAAAAATTCAGTTCCTTTTTTTCTTTTTCATCCCAGTAGGACAAGCACTTTGTTCTTGACCTTCGCGTAAGTATCTCTAGATTTAAAATGGAATAATTATGACGATCATACATGTGGGAAGGAATATAATATATGAGACTGAATTAGGATGAAGAGAAAGAAATAGAAGAAATGGGACTATTCACATTTTAAAAGTCCCAACTTCAATCAAGCTGATCGACATGGGCAACCTATACTTTTTCCCTTTAAAATTAACTACTAGCAGGACAAGAATAAATTATCTGTCAGGACACATCATCTTATTTAACAGAGTGATAAGTTTTAGTAAAGTAATAAATTAGTGAATTGATATACAAAGTAACTCCAAACTGTACTGCTCAACTACATGAAGTTCAATTTTGGATAGCAAATCACTGTTTTAAGGAGACCAGCAAGAAATTATATCAAACTACACTTAATAGACATGTAATATCATTTACCCTTCTGGTATAGAATTATGGCCATTCAACATACCTCTAGCTGTATCTTCCCACCACCTCCCATCCCTTCTAGATCAAGCAGCACTTCATGTGGATTTCCTGGCAGAAGATGATTTTGTCTTTTAGCTAACTTTCTAATGTGCTTATGCTCTATCTTCTCAGATATTACGCATGCATTGGTTGTCACTAATACCATGACATTTAGCTTACCAATACAAGGTCCTAGTTGAAACAATGATACGATATCAATTCACATGTTGTGGGCTGCTTGTGGGACATAAGTCATAATTATACAAGGTCCTAATTGAAACAATGGCGCTTGGCAGTATCACAATTCATGCTAGATCATCATTTGAAACCTCGATATGTTGCATGCATTTCTTTATATCTTACCATCACAGAGGTTTTCCAAGTATACGGCAGTATTTCCCATGCGCTTGTGTGGAGTCACAACATTTGCATCCCAAGCTGCAACCTAGAGTTTTATATTTTGCAAAAGAGCAGCAGAAAATAGTCAAAACACATGATTATATGACTGTCATTACAGTATGAAATAATTTTTTTTGATGCAGAAACGTTCTATTTCTTATGAGAAGGAACCTCGTGAATTACTTTATGCATATTATGCAGAAAAATCGAGAATAGTTTTAAAAAAATATTCCTATTTTTCTTAAATTTACACACGAAGGTCACTTTCCACACATTTCATGTGGCAAGTCCTTTATTTTCTATGCATCAAAATTTTCAACACAAGGGGACATCCTTTTCAACCCATTAAGAAACAATAAGAACCATTTTGCAAGCTAAAAATTATTAATTGTGGAAAACTAGAAAGTACAACATAAAGATACATTTTGTAAATGTATAATTTTAAAGAATTTTAATTTGCGTACCACTTATCAAGGCTATGGTCAGATTCTTTTCATATATGATCCATGATATCTATTTCAGATCCTGAAAGAAATGCTAACTTGTGATCTCATGCAAATGGTGCATGCAGAAACTTGACCTGGAACCATTTTTCTTTCTAAATCTAGTGCAAAACATAGACTCCTGTAGTTCTATTCGTCAAATTATAAGCAGAAAGAAAGAGATAAAGGATGTAAGGTTGTTGGTCACCAGATTAGTTTGATCATAAAAGAAAGCTCCATAACAATTTGCTACAACCTGAAGATTCTGTTCTGGTGGTTGCTTGATATTTAAACTAAACTCCTCGTTCCATGTGGGTTCTTTTGTCCTGCCACAGTTATTTACTTAGCATAAGATGATTGAACGAAGCAAACATCAGCCCAATAAAGACTGCAAATATGCCAGTTATCTAGAACATAAATAATGAAAAAACTAAAAGACGAGAAAGAAGAAAACTCTTCTAGCCCAGTTGACTAGAAATTTAAAAAAATTCCAGAACATCGTGCCCAGAAATTAAAAAATAAACAAATCCCAGAACACTGTGCTTCCACTAAGCCTATAAACACTCGCTAAATAAAATATTCAACAAGTGCCAGAAGCTGAACCAAGAAGAGAATCCCCTGGCACATAATTTTTTTGACTTTTTAGAAGGCATTAAGTCCTCATCCGTTATCTCTTACATTTTCATTTCTCAAATCATTTGTAACTAAAATAGAAGAATAAATAGATTCCACCCAGTACATGCAGGTCCAAAGTCTAAAATATCAGGAGCAGGCAAGGTTTGTTGAGACAAGATTCAAATCCAACATGCAATGGACCAAGAAATATTTTCTTCTTTCACTTCTTTTTTCTCTGGGGAGGAGGATGTTTTTGTTTATGAACAGGACTTACCCCCATTTGACCTTGCTTTTGACCACTTGACAATCTAATTGCATGACCACGTAAGGATCACTCGTTCCCTGAGAGTGGAACATGATTCACAAGAAAACAGATGAAACATTGATCAGGAGATGCATGTAAATCACTGTAAATCATTTCTCAACTCAAGGAATGATAAAACTATTTTTATGGCAGAAAAGCAAAAGAGGAAAGTTTATGGACATAATTGAAATTTCAACTACTTTCTGATATAAAAAGAATTAGATGATATTATCCTACCCATGGATCCATAGCAGGAAAATTAAAACCTTTCTTTAACTTTATGAACAACTGGCCATCATAAATTTCATGAACAAATGACCTGCAATGAATCAATTTTGCAGGTTTAAGACAATATGATGATTCTCAAAAAAAGAAAAAGAAAAGAAAAAAGACAATATGATGGCAGGCATCCAGCCCGTGAAGGATAAAATTATGATTACATAAGAACTACATTTGCTCACATCAAGTCTGTATGCAGATTCACACATAAAAATTACGAAAATGTACATCCTCAAAGTTTTTACAAGAAATTGGGGACAACGTAGTTCTACTGGGACAGATGAAAAGCACATTATAGTAATCAGTTTAAACTAAACTTCATCTCACATAATTTTAGCTGCTACAATATGAATGTAGATTTTTGGGGGATTGGTGTCTTATAAATATGTCGAGTTTCATGGATTCCAATGAATGCAAAATTTCCTCATAAAACTTTACAATTGAATCATGTTAATAGCACGAGTTGTTAGGCTGTAGATAGACGTCTAATCTTCCAATTACCAGCTATATAATATACAATGCTTTCTATAAACATGGTTAGAGCTTTGAATTTGTTTCAGTGCTTGAACCAGATGTCTGGGTGTGAATCTACTCTTTCCAATTCAACAAGCCTTACTTTACAAAGCTTATCCCTTTCAACACCAAACCGATTGCTTCTAAAGCCCAAATTTCAAGCTCTTCAAGCTCAGTTTCTTACATTTCTGATCTAAAAACTGAAAAAATTAATAAATAAATAAAAAATCAACCTTCAATGAAACTTACATAGGCTGTCCAGTGCCATTTTCACCCTAAAGCTCAAAAGGTAGCAAGTCTACTGTTGTCTTCCATTGCTTTCCTTTACTACTACCAAGGTATGTTAACTAAAATTTTACATTTCTCGATAAAATAATGAGAGAACGTATGTTATTCCGAAAATGTGAGCTCAAAAAGTGTTCATACTTCATATCTAATGTTTACTGGGTAAGATAACATCTTCTTGAGCATGGGAAACACTATCTAGCATTTTCAATAATGTTTCTTACTCTTGCTATTTCAATAAACGGACTATTCCAACATTTGGTGATACTAAGGTATCAAAAATTAAATGCTATAAGATATTAGCCTTCCCAAAATTAGATCATGGGCCAAGATGAAATGCTAAAATGCTCAGTTCAGCATCTTAACAAAGATCATACTCTACTTCTATGTAATGTAAAAGAGTTATTTTAAAATTCCTAGTTTCATAATTGTGAGAGAATAAAGTAACATACTGCGAAAGAAACACCGTCCGACAATTTGCTGCATCAATCTTGCGCTTGCTGACAGTTTCCTTACAAGGAACATACAAGAAATCAATGAAGCAAGTCAAATTAAACAACTCTTAATTATACAAAAATGCCATTCGAAAAGAATTCGTGTCAATTTTTTAAGCAAAGAAAGAAGAAAGTGCCACGTGCACATGTATGAATTAATATAGTCTCCTTATAATCCATTTTCATCTTAATTTCATAGGTCCTTTTGGTTAATAACTCATAGCCCTAAAAAATTAATCACATTAACAGCCTTTTTCACTTGACTAGGATAAGATATCCCATTAGAAGATCAGTTTTCTTGGGAAATGATGTTTAATTGATGCGGAACAAGAGCTTTAACTGAGCTATAACTAGAGTTAAAGTGAAAACAGGAAATCATATCTCAATTCTTTTGGCTATACTTATATGTTGCTCTACAAAATATTAAAATCCGATGAAAAAACACAAATTTAGAAAAATCAGTGATCATAACTCTTTCTTTTTGGGTGACGAAGACAAAACAACCTAAAATGCACAATATTCAGCTTTACAATACAATACATAATAATATCATACACCAAATCAAAATAATGAATCAAAATTTTAAAAACACGAACAAAGGGTTAAACTAAAGTATACAAGAAGTTACAGGAGGGGTATTGTAGGCCTCAAATGCAAAACCAGCAAGAATGACTGCCAAATTGATATCAAATGGAGGCCTCTCATTCTCATACTCCTCTCTCTTTTCACTTAAAACGGACTCATAAATCTCAGTACTACTACTATTACCGCTGCTGCTGGTTTTGTAATACCCAGAAACTCTTGAATTCAAAACCCTCTTGGACAAAAATAGTTTCTTGGGGAGCAAGAGTTTCTTGGAGAATGAAAATGATTTGGGGTTCTTGAAATGAAGAAGTTCATGCGAACAGAAAAGGTGGGATTGAAGAGTGGCCATCGATTAGAATGTAGAGATCATGTAGCAGCTTTTGCAATTTCCGTAGTGAAATAAGGAGATTTTTGGAGGGGACTGGGGCCCGGGTGTGGGGAGTGGTCGGTTGGTGATCCTACGGCGGCGTTCCTGTGGGTAATACGTAGAGCTTTAGTAAGAAAGTACGAGAAAATTGGTGGCGCCAAGCCGTTAACGGTCAATATTGGTTTTTAACTGTATTTATTTCAATTAAACTGGATGTACAAGTTTTATACATGAGTCTTATAGAGGTCGGGTCACGTGGGCCCCGATGTATTCAAAAATGGCCAAAAAAATGTCGACCCCATCACTATGAGTAGTCTGTAAAACATCTGTCAGTTTTCTTTTTGTACAAGCAGCTCGATTCGTTTATGAAGCTAAAACGAACACAAAGCCAAACACTTCACATTTACACCGAGATATTAGTAATTATATTGTACTTCGTGAATTTGTATCCCCGCAGATTATCCCTACAAATAACGTGAAAACTTTATTTTTCATTTCATCTAGTTTTGTTTTATGCAATTTGGAAATTGTTTATAACGAAGTTCAGTCCCTCGCCAAAATTTGAACTATGTTAAAAACAAATTTTATGAGAATTAGAATAGAAGATTGCCTAAATACATGAAATATCTATTTTCTTTTAACGAACTTATAATTTTTTTTCATTAAATGTGGCTTCAATTCTGTACTCTAATTAAAAATAATAATAATAATAATAATAATAATAATAATAATAATAATAATAATAATAATAAAAAAGAGCTTCTATGATTATGTCGAATTATTGTAAAAGGAGACGTCGATAGAAATTTTTTGAAATTGACAAAAGTTAGACGGGACAATATCACATGGTGGCATAAGACCATTAGAAGGATCCTGAACTTTTTCTCCTTTAACATGTGTTTTGGATTCCCATTCAAACTTCAAAAGTAAATGCTTTTTCCTCCTTATTTAATTTTTTTTATTTTTTATTTTTTATTTTTATTATTTTTCTTTTTGAGGGTAAGAGACCCCTACCTTCTCTTCCTCCTTTAAGATAGTGTTATAAAAGAAGGTTAATGATTAGCTATTGACTAATTTTTAAAGCTTCTTCGACTTAATTAAGTCACTTTAGGCAAGGCGAGTCCTATTATGAGGTATTTAACTGAAATCGGTTAGTGTTTGTGCGTAACACATTAAAAGGTATGAATTACAAATTTGTTACATATCACAATAACTTCGAGAAACACAAGTTAAAAATTTTTTTGGAATGATGCATTCAAATTTTTTTCATTAGAGTTGTCGGGAATCCTTTCTCAAGAAATCTCGAATTAATTGAAATATAAGTCCTTTATCAAGAAAAAAGTATCTAAAGAAAATATGAATCTATTGTCGAGCATTGCCGAAGCTCTTATTAGATCATGCAATGATCTTGAATAAGAAATCCCAATACAACTAAATAAAAATTAAAAAAATCTTACAAAGAAAAAATAAAAAATAAAAACGAAACCAGCAGCGAGAGCATGCATGTTACATGCCATGAATGTCCATTCACTTCTTATCACCCATTCCAAGTGTGTTCTTCACGCCATCAATGGCACCTTGAGCCATATGAGCCACTTGCTCTCCCGTCTACAAAAGTTTAAAGTATTAGATATATACAAAATTACTTATTTAAATTTTATTTTTAATTCATTACATTACATTACGTTCAAATCAAATTCATTTTTCTAGTAAATGTACCTGTTTAAGGAATCCCGCATTTTCTTCCTTGCTACGTTGGGCTTGGGCTTGAGTACTGTTTGCTGCATCGCAGGCCTTGTCGTGTGCTGACTGTGCTGTGTTCTTAGCAGACTCCATCCACTCCTCTGTTTTGGCCTGCTCGATACACACATTTTATTCATCAAGTTTCAAATGAAATGATCATCGATGCACAATTATGCATGCATGAATGTAAATGTTTATATACACATGCATGGATGACATATTTGACAAGGAAATCGAATAGAAAAGAAAATGTAATTCTATATAGAAGATATAAACCATGCGTTGTGTATTTTTCAACATGAGATACTATGTTTTAACAAATACTTGTGTATTGGCCTGAGATTGTCCTGCATTGTGTTGAGCACTCGACATTTTCTATGAAACCTCAAAGAAAATGAGAACTTGAAGATTTTGTTTGGCTTAATATGTTTGATGATATAAGTTTATATGAATTAAACCATTGTTGTAGGATATTTATAGTGTAAATCGATCCATGTATGGAGGAACAACCTTTGCATTTTGATGTAGTCAGTTCTTGGTGATGAGTGAATTGCTGCCTTTGACTTGGACAAAGGGGTTTAAAATTCATACAAAATTTCGCTTAAAATTATGTTTGGATATACTATTAATGAACATTGAGTAACAATAAAAAGATTGTAATAAAAGTTTTTGAAATGTGTGGTTGAAAAGTTGTGGGATCCATGAAAGATGTGGTTAATATTTATTATTTGACTTTGACTTTGACTTAAATAAAAATCGGATTTTAATCAAGGCCAAACAGGCTTTTAGTCACGCTAAATTTAAAGAGAAAAAATTAAGTGGGTAGTTAAACTAATTTATTTTCGTCAAATTAATAACTTAACTTTCATGTTAGCTTCACATAGGCCACTTAAGGCGAGTCCTATTATGAGGTATTTAACTGAAATCGGTTAGTGTTTGTGCGTAACACATTAAAAGGTATGAATTACAAATTTGTTACATATCACAATAACTTCGAGAAACACAAGTTAAAAATTTTTTTGGAATGATGCATTCAAATTTTTTTCATTAGAGTTGTCGGGAATCCTTTCTCAAGAAATCTCGAATTAATTGAAATATAAGTCCTTTATCAAGAAAAAAGTATCTAAAGAAAATATGAATCTATTGTCGAGCATTGCCAAAGCTCTTATTAGATCATGCAATGATCTTGAATAAGAAATCCCAATACAACTAAATAAAAATTAAAAAAATCTTACAAAGAAAAAATAAAAAATAAAAACGAAACCAGCAGCGAGAGCATGCATGTTACATGCCATGAATGTCCATTCACTTCTTATCACCCATTCCAAGTGTGTTCTTCACGCCATCAATGGCACCTTGAGCCATATGAGCCACTTGCTCTCCCGTCTACAAAAGTTTAAAGTATTAGATATATACAAAATTACTTATTTAAATTTTATTTTTAATTCATTACATTACATTACGTTCAAATCAAATTCATTTTTCTAGTAAATGTACCTGTTTAAGGAATCCCGCATTTTCTTCCTTGCTACGTTGGGCTTGGGCTTGAGTACTGTTTGCTGCATCGCAGGCCTTGTCGTGTGCTGACTGTGCTGTGTTCTTAGCAGACTCCATCCACTCCTCTGTTTTGGCCTGCTCGATACACACATTTTATTCATCAAGTTTCAAATGAAATGATCATCGATGCACAATTATGCATGCATGAATGTAAATGTTTATATACACATGCATGGATGACATATTTGACAAGGAAATCGAATAGAAAAGAAAATGTAATTCTATATAGAAGATATAAACCATGCGTTGTGTATTTTTCAACATGAGATACTATGTTTTAACAAATACTTGTGTATTGGCCTGAGATTGTCCTGCATTGTGTTGAGCACTCGACATTTTCTATGAAACCTCAAAGAAAATGAGAACTTGAAGATTTTGTTTGGCTTAATATGTTTGATGATATAAGTTTATATGAATTAAACCATTGTTGTAGGATATTTATAGTGTAAATCGATCCATGTATGGAGGAACAACCTTTGCATTTTGATGTAATTAGTTCTTGGTGATGAGTGAATTGCTGCCTTTGACTTGGACAAAGGGGTTTAAAATTCATACAAATTTTCGCTTAAAATTATGTTTGGATATACTATTAATGAACATTGAGTTACAATAAAAAGATTGTAATAAAAGTTTCTTTAGTAGATTGTAATAAAAGTTTTTGAAATGTGTGGTTGAAAAGTTGTGGTTAATATTTATTATTTGACTTTGACTTAAATAAAAATCGGATTTTAATCAAGGCCAAACAGGCTCGTAGTCACACTAAATTTAAAGAGAAAAAAATTAAGTGGGTAGTTAAACTAATTTATTTTCGTCAAATTAATAACTTAACTTTCATGTTAGCTTCACATAGGTCACTATGTCTATTCCCGTAAGTAACACTAGCTGGAAAGTTGTATGTGATTTAGTGACGAAAAGTTTAGTTAACGTCTAATCCTAATTATAATAATAAAAAATAAAAATAAATAAATAAATAAAACACTTGTTTTAATCAAGTGGTCCATATACCATGTTCATTGCTTTGATTAGAGACTACAATTTAGTTCGCCCAACGTGGCCATATAAAATATAAAAACTATAATGAAAAATGAAGGGGAAATTTGTAGATAAATTCAAAGAAAATAAATTTGTAAAAACGTGTTTCTCAAATCAACACTTTAGTAAGGGAAAAAATGTCAATTGGATGTGGAAGGCCCAAGTGACAGCCCCCAATTTGATGCTGGACCCTTACTCGAGTTGTGCTTATTCAAACATTATCTTGACTGTCCATCTTTGATCAATGGTTGAGAATTAATCTCATACAATTGGTTTGGTATTTGAGGGGTCATTCCAAAAGGATGGTAATTAGTCTTGGTTTTTCAAGTTCTGAGTCCCTCCTTTGAAGCGTCTTTGGTCTTCTTCGAGAGATCTTCTTGTTCTATTTTTGGTTTCTATTTTTGTGATGACACATGAGATCTTAGTCAATTTTGTAGAACCCTGTGAAATATAAATTGCTATAGTAATTTGACCAATCGTAAGGCCTGTGATGCGTCTATTTTGTTAGGCGGTAGGATTCTTGGTTTATTGGTACTTAAAATGTGATTTGTGTGATCCTTTTGAATCAAGGATCGGATCTGGAGTCTAATTGTAGTTTTAGTGTTGTCTATCTGTCTCTTGGAAAGTTATTTTGTACATAGTGAATGGGTCGGCCTCCGAGGCCCCCAGATTACGCATTTTTGCTTAACTGGATGAACAAGCAATTGTGTTTTTATTGCTTTTGTGTGTGATTGATTGATTATTTCTCACACGAGCACAAAGAAAAAGGGGTAAATCCTTACAAAATCAAAACTAAAAGTGAAGTTAATGACCAATATTGTTGACCCAGTCGTTACAATGTAGAAGTTGCGTTACTTAAACGATAAGTCAAATTGTACGATACTAGATGTCAACTCAAAATCTGCTTGGTATTTACTAGCTTCGTAGGACTTTGTCGTTAGCTTTATTAATGATCGTAAAAGGTTAAGGTGGAATTTGGACGCCTAATTAGATGCCCAAAAAAGGTTTAGTGAAACCTTTTGAATTTCGTTAGCAGATGTTGCACATCTCGTTTTCTTAATCATGCATAAATCAACTCAAAAACATGTCATAATAGTTTAATACCTAAAATGAATGCAAATTATTTATAATTTCTTATATATATAGTTTCATTTGTGTACCTATTTGCAATTTTCCCTTCTAACTAGGCCTAAATTCAAATTAATCGATTTGAAAAATGGAGTATGCTGCTGAGGATAACAAGTTCAAATTAATTTACAGTTTTTCTTCCTAATTGGGTCTCTAAATGGCACAATAATCAGTTTACAAAATTGGTTCACTTTCTAAAAGAATAATGCTATTTATAATCACTCACTATCGCAGTCGCCTTACGTGATATACATGTAATGGTTAGTAATTCGATATTTGAAACAAGAAAAAACTACCATATTAATAGATTAAATTACAAACTGTCATATAAGATGACTACTATAGTGAACGACTATAAATAACATTACTCTTTCAAAAGACAATCTTTCGAATTAGTTTGTTGATTTTCCTTCTTATAGGGTCCCTAGATGGCACATTATTACAATTTGAAAATTTGGGTAATCCTTTATAGTTGTTAGTTGTTACTAATTGACTTTGTAACTTTCCTTTCTAGTTGGGTCCCTAAATAACCATTTACCAGTTTGAAAAATTGGGCAGCCTTCTAAAACATCAATGACCATTTGTTGCCTTTCTAATTAATGTCCCAAAATATCACATTAATCAATTTGAAAAGTTGGGCAACCTTTATAATTTTGGACACGTTTTTCATTTCATAAGTAATCTCTACTTTTTAACATTGTTTTAATTCTCTAATCTTCTAAAAGTATGATCCACAAGATTTGGAAGGTGTAGTGCCCTCTAGAAGACAACAAAAACACGTGCTGAAACATGCTTGTGTCTAGATTGAGACGAATTCAAGGTTGAATAGGTCTAGTCGCGTTCAACACCACGATATGGTTGCTTCCCGAACCAATGAGTATGATGATCGTTTTCTTTATTGGTGTTACCACAAGGCACGAATTGTAATATTTTGATGAGAGGTGGGTACTAGACTATTACTCTTGTTCTATTGTCTTGAACTCCGCTTATCAATTACTCTTTAAGTGTCCTTACTTTTTATTTAAAAAATAAATAAAAGTGTTCCTTTTACATGCATGGTCAAGTTCATACTTTATGTCACCTTAGTAACATAGTTTAGCACAGGTTTTTCTTGCATTCCGGCTGAGGAGATATTATTGATGGTGGCATTTGGCCATTCTTGGTCTAAAGAGTTCGTTCTCATTCAATTTGAGCAATTAACCTCCTTGAGAATTGCTTCATTAGACAAAGTCACAAAGACTAAAATGAAGCCATGGCCCTTGTTTGAGCCCCATTTTAAGAGGAAAAATGAATTTTTGAATAGTGTATTGATGGGAAATGTGTGGTTAAAAAAATAAGGAAATGTTTTGAATTTGCGTGTAATATTATTTTATTGAAAAATGTGTTGTTGAAATGATATTAAAACACTATAGAAGAATTCATTTTTTCCAAATAATGAGGATCAAACAAGGGCGTAATTTAGAACGTAATAGTTACAAAATAAAGTAGGATTGAAAGATGAATATGCTAATTTACACTATTTTTGTCTTGGAAATATCTTGTATTGACCAAGAACACTAATATCCCGTCTAACCCCCTCCCTTTGGAAGGATGCTGGATGTACCTTTGATCCCGCTTACAGATTTTTATTTTATTTTATTTTTATTATTTTTTATTTTTTTGCATTCCTAATTTCCTAGCCCACTCAAAAAACTAGAATTATCGTAGAACGAAAATTGGAGAGCATTAATCACTTTTGCATTCTTAATAGTAGTTATTAGATAAGTTGGAAAGAAACCCTAAGAGTGAATAAGTTGGAATCATCAAATTTATGAGTACAGAAAGTCAAAATTTTACCGTGAATAATTTTTTTCTCCTTTAGGACTTATTTTGCATCACTATATTTCCTAATCAAGTTCTATGAATGTTATTTGCATTCAAGAATGTGTAACATGTTAGATGCTAGTCATTTTTCTTTACATTTTTTTAGTTTTTGAAAACTTCAGCATGATTTTTTTGCGTTGAAGTTATCTAAAACTTGCCATGTTGCCTTAAGAAAGGACCCACAGTTTGATATCCTATGGCAATAATCGTGATTAATTGTTATCTAGATGTGAAAATATTTGATCGATGGAGAGATTTTTCAATTGATAAGAATTAGGTTGTGAGTTGTACATAAATTTTTATCACTCTTACATTCTCTTTTCTTTCACTTGACCATATTACGAGATAACTTTGGGGATGGTCAAGCCGATGAGAGATATTATCTAGAAGTGTTGATTCTATGTATGCTGAAAAAATATACGTAAATTTTTGAGTGGAGTGTCTTTTGTTAAGTATAAGTTAAGTAATGATCATATATTAGGAATCTAAACCCCATGTAGTTTTGTTGTGCGCAAAAAAGAGCATCATACTTGTTGAATACTTGCCTCACTCCATAGCCTTTTTTACTCGAGTTATTAAATCTGTTAGGGTGTCACGAAATCCAGTACCCTTTGGTCTAAAAAATCGAGGAGTTATCGACATAAAACTCGTTACACGGGTTAAGAAGAGAGCTGTGTAAGTTCATTAATAAGCTTCAGTTGAAAAAAAAATAAAAATAAATTTAGCAATATTGTGGATTTGTGTTTGATGTTTTTACTTAGATAAGTAGTGTGCTTGAATTACTTAATTTAAGCTTAAATGTGGAAGCACTTATTACTGAAGAATCATCACATTTATAGACCATTGATACTACTGGTTAAATCAAATTTATGTGGAAAAAGAAAAGAGTGGTTTGAGAACACCCTTTAGATTTGCACCTCAGAAAAAGAAAAAAAGTATATCTAGTAAAGGGTGTGAATTTCATAAAGGGGAAAGGTAATATTTGACCTCAAAGAGTTGGATTGGCGCCAATTTGAAAATTTATTCGTCTTAACAATTTTTCTTAATTTAGATAATGATTGGAAGTGACTATACATCCATACAACAATCGAACATTAGATAAACTTAAATTATTTTTGTTAGCATTATTTGAGCATATTTGTGAATTGATTATACAATATTACAATTATTAATTTTTGGCAAACTATTTAATTTGTTGATCATTATTATGTGCTGTTGGATTGTGTTGTAAATAATCTTGATCGGGGTGAACAAGAACTTAAGTTTGAGGGTATTTGATAAATATATTTTTGCACACTTATTTAATGTCTAAATATACTTATTATTGAGAAAAGTGCAGATATCAGCTCACAATTATGTAATTCTTACTTTTATAGGTTGAAAATCACCT